GTACAGCATACACACATGGCCCATGCCACTGCCAGCATTTATATCTGTGCAGTCCAGTGCAACATGCAGTTACATTTCTAAGGAAATGCACCTCGTAGGATTTCAGAATGGTCTGTGGTTATGATGTGACTATAGCAAACACAGAATTATAAAATCCCTGTAAAACTAACAATCTAAAATGTAAAGGACTAAGAAAAAGACAGCAGCATTTTTTAAAAGTTAAATCCAACATCTGTGAGCAAGATCTGGGATCTTCTTCAACACTGAACATCCGACACAACTATGTGGCACGCGTAGAGTCGAGAGGTGACAATTATTTCATAGTTCACAACGCCATAGAATTCATTTTATCATTTCATTTGTTTGTCTTCATGCTACTTGGTTAAGTGAAGCAAAATTAAACAGATTATTATTCCAGGAAATCTATACGAGATCTGACATGATATGTTGGCCCTAAAATTTAAATATGGTTAAATCACTGAGTGGGATTTAATCTGATTGAGGAGAAACACTTCAAAAGTCTACCTGAAAGCTCGATGTTCCACAGGTTCACCAAACAACACCTTCAGTGGTTTTTGGTTTTTCTGGATAGATCTTTTTAACCAAAGGCAGAGCTTCCGCCAGCTTGAGCGAGTTTGGTGAAAGCATGTGACAATAAATGAAGGAGGAACCATCAGAATGGTATGAACTGGTTGTGATATCGTACTTTTCTACTCAAGCATGTCTCATTCACCCATTTACACACACATTCATACAAGTGCTTGTTGTTCTTTTGGGAGCATCAGAACTCAGCCAGGAGAAAACTTTTGTCTCCATGTCAAGTGAGGCAAAAACCTCCACAGTCATTAAAAAGTCCACCTTTAGTGACAAGTTCTATAATAAGAGGATGCTGTTGGTCAAAGATTGAAGAAAGCAGAGTGGAGTCAATAGCCTGAGTGTGTGTAGGGGAGTAGAGGAGGCACTGCTTAGGCCTGGCTGTGTTATATTACAGAGATGTGCTCAGTGTAGCCTGGAGGAAGTGTCCAAACAGATTACTCTAAAAAGCTTAACGACAGGCCGGCCATGCTGACAGAACACGAGGCAACAAACGGGGGACAGCAAAGTAAAAGAGACTGAGGCTAGAAGAGAGGAGAAGGAAGTAATGATGTGTGGAAGAAAGAAACCCACATTCAGAAAGACTCAGATCTAAAGCAAGTGTGGCAAAAGTGGAGTCACCGTCCAAAAACTTGGAAAGAAAAAGGAGTTAAAAATTCTAAAATGAGATCAACATTATTTTTACAATACAAGAACTGCAGAGATGTTAGCAGTCATTAGCCATTGTAAGTGTCTGTGCCATATAATCTGTCCATTACCCATGCACGCTATTGTTAACGTGAGTCAACAGACGCGTCCGTTACTGTTGTTAGTCCCTGTCATTAGCATACTTGTCATGTTGGCCATTATGATGCAGTCGTTGTCCTGACTGCTCTCAGGCTGCTCTGGTGCAGACAGATGGTCCAGGCCAGAGGGGAGTTTTAGCAGTTTAAATCCCATTGTGGCCTGCAGCAGCAGCCCAAAGACACTCCCACGTCACGGCTGTCCTGTAAGCCCCTGTGCTTCAATGATATTTAAACCTGCACTGGGCAGCTTCCAAGCTAGTAGCAAGGGAGGTTACTGTGCAAACACAATATTAAGAGTCATAAATGGGTATAGAACGGCCCATCGGAGAAGTAAATCTCCCCAGGGATCGATCACACAGCATCTCACAATATGACACTATCACAATGAGAGATTATTATTGAGATTTTTAACATTTTGCAATGCTGAGTATTGCAATAACATATATTTCAAATTTATCACCTTATTTCAACCGCAAATCCTGTTCTCACAGTTAACTTTGTCAGTTTCTGTTGTATCCAATAAGATAAAAGTTATTTTTGCTACAAAATGAGATTCTCAGGCATATCAGCGCTGTCACTACAACCTGCCATAAATGTTGCCATAAGATGAAAGTTGAAATCACATCATATATGTTTATTCTTTTTATAGTTGAGCAAGCTTAACATAAACAGTTGAACTGGTAATGAAAACATTTTAGATACATTCCTGAAAACAGGAATGGTTATGAAAGGTTATGAAAGTGTCTTTCGTAACCTGGAAGATTTAGGCTACAGGGTCTGAAACCACCAGCTGCTTCCCCTCCACCAAGAGCGCATACCTTTCTTACATCGAGAGACAGAAGAGAGATGTGCAAGCCATGACCTCATATCTAAATCTACACGTGACAGCTCTCACCCCAAAGTTAGCTTTTCAGGCTGGTCACTTTAACTCCACAATGCTGCTGACCCAGAATGCATCTGGTGTTAGAATGCACAAACTATTTTAGGGCCTGTATGACAGCCAGGATGTATTTATACCCCTGAGGCTGAGTGGTGTGGTATGGGCTGTGGGCCCGGGCTGAGACAGTGACCTCTTACAGGAGACAATTAACCAGTTAAGAAAAAGTTCCTCACCTGCTGATCGATTCTGAAGATTTCAGCTCAAGAGCAGAAGATAAGTTTGACTACATTCACATACTCAAAAGACCCCTTTTGAAGGATGCAGGTGGATGATATCAAGGATTGCCACAACAACACAGTGGCCAATGAGCTAGGATATACTACGCTTAGGATTGGCTGGTTACCAACAACGAAACTTTTAAAAATAAGAGTGAGCATTGTCCAAGAGGACATAAATTGTGCATGATGTTATTTTCTCTGACGTATAAATTAATGAAAATATAATTAAAAATACAAACTGATACAATTACCCACACATGGACTTTATTTTTCACCAAAGTCCATGTGGGAAACACTTGTATGATAATAGACAGAAGGTACGGCCAACTCTAAAAGGAGGTTGAGGCAGGTCTGCAGGAAGTTGGGTCCTCTTAGTAAAACAATAAGCAGACGGAAATAAGGCCACAGTAGCGCACAAAAAGCTGGGAGGAGGGGAGTCGCAGCCTAAAAAAAGCAAAAACAGCCTAATGTGGGTCACTCTGTTTGTTTCTGCCTCTAACTTAGGGACAAAAGAATAAGTGGGGTGCTGAGATGCTGCCTAAGCTTGAAAAACAACCAAACAATCAATCGTTGCAACATTATCTTTGTACAACTGGAGATCACCAGAGACCGTGGCAGCAGATCTGATTACAGACAGTCAGAGCAGCTATTTCACACTTTTTACTATCGTTGTATTCATAAACATTTAGTTCATTTATAAGAAAAACTGATTCCATATTCTTTTCCTGAAAAGGTTTCTTCTTTTCACAGCCTGAGAGCCCAAACAACAGGCTATTTTATTCGACTGGGATTTTTCATGGTAATAGTTTGACAACATGATGAGGCTATACTACATCATCTTTCAGCCTTTGTTGTGTCCCAAAAGTACGTATGATGAAATTGCCAAAGATACGCTATTTGAGCAGAACCAGCTCAATGATTTGGGATGAAGGATTTCTTGAGCTGGTCCAGAGGCTCATCCAGAGGCTCCCTCTTAGAGCTGACTAACTAATCTTGTGATTTTCTTTTTTAAACAGCCCATTGGGAATCCTCACCAAGCTGGCCACTTCACCACTGATCACCTTTGATGAAGTTTAAAGCATAGGAAGCATATAATGCATCTTTGGTATAAAACTGTAGCTTCCCACCACAGTAGTTTTAAGCATATTTTTTTAAAATACTTACTTATAAGGGTTTTTTTTAAACAAATGATGCCTTTACAGTTTGTATCTCAGCAGTGCAGCAGAGGAGCATCACTGCTGAGCAGATGGCCACAGTCAAGCAGTGTCTTTATGGAAAGCAAGGATAAGCAATTGGTGCTGGGAAGTTATTTCCCCCTTTCAATAAAATTTTAATATATATCTGTGTATATGTTCAGTTTCGTTTGTTCTAGATTAACTTCACTCGTTTCACTTAATCATCCAGGCTTTAAGCCAAGTCACTTGTGTGCAACATGAACACATTGACTTTACGATTCGCAACTTTGCCCCAGAGGCAAAAGTTACAATTCAACTGTGATGCAATACAGCAAGCAACTCTCTTGTTGATCCACAAAGCAAAGCTTTCCACAGTGCATTTAAAAAAAACTCCACTCTGGCTGTTGCAGAGGGAGAAAATACAAACTGAGCCCGTGAGTGAATGCATCTGGTGACAAAGCAAACGTGCTGAAACTGAGGTTGGTGCCACTGAAGAGCAGACATCGGCTCTCCTTCAGTCACCAGGATGAAAAAGATTTCTGTGAATACACAACAGGGATCCTGCCAGCTATGTGCAGGAATTACATGTCAAAAAATACATTCTGCTGTGGAGACAAAATCCCCATCTTAGTCCACACCTGTGGTAGTACTGAACGTAACTATGCTTTTTTATTTTACTATTAAAACTCATACAAACAAACCGGCGAAGAACGCGTAATATATCCAAACATGTCTTTATTTTGCTGTAAAAGTTACTTAAAATGTATAATTTTAAGCCACAACAAGCATCAAAGTCAAAATCGATTCATTTGGGAAACACTGACACTGAAGCTGCAGAGCAGCTCTGAGACGTAGCACAGCACAGGAAGCCCAGATCAGATTATAGGATTCGGAAAAGATAGGTTACTGCTGATTTCTCAAAAGCTTATTACCTTAAATGACACTGGTTTCCGCAGCTCATATACTGTGATCAGACAGGAATGATGCATATCTCTATTCTAATGTATAGACACTGCTTATTTGCACTGTAGTAACTCTTTGAAGTAACTGTTTCGTTCCACTTATTTGTAAAGGTGTGTGTGTGTGTCACTTGTGTTTTAGGGTGTTCAGAAATCTCACTATATGTCACATAAATGTATTAAATGGTTTACAATAAAAAGCCAGAGCTCCGTAGCGGTGGATGGATCGTTGCAGTTAACAACACCGTGTTAAGCGAGAGGGGACCGCTGCGGTTCCATTTGACTTTAAAACACGTTCATAACTCAACAACAGAAAAGAAGCCACATACCTGCTAACTCGTCCGGTTCAAGTCCCGTTTCTGTGTCTATTCCACAAATAACAAAGTAGTGCGCGAAGCGGCAGGGCGCCGCGGCCGACCCCGCGGAGGTCCCGCTCATCCCGGCTTCGGTGAGCTGCGCGGTCCGTTCCTAGTTCTTCAAGCGATACATCCAAGAGGAAAAGGCGGGGGGCTAAATAAAACGCTCCAGTCTTTGATAACGCTCCACTGCTGCGCGTCGTATGAGAAAATGAAACATTCGCAGTATAAGAGCTGCTTTATAAAAGTTACCTTTCAGTGACCGGAGCTTCTGTGCAGCTTCCCAACACACTACTAACTCTACGGGAGAAGAGAGCTGTGTGAATCCCCGCCTCGGCAAAGCTCGGAGGAGTCGGTGACGAGGCGGGATATTCAAATACGACCTATGGTCCTCATATTCGTCAAGCTGACAGACTGCAACACACGGCTACTCGTTTATAAATAATTAAATAAATACCCTACTTAAAAATATGACTGACTATTTGCATTTTTGTAGGGATTTAAGGTCCTTTTCATGACTTTTCAGCACAATTTAATAGTTTTAAAAGATCTCATCACCCATACCGCATATTATGTCGCTTCCATTTTCAAATAATAAGAAGTTGTGTCCAACTAACTTTTAAAGGCACATAAAAATCAACCTTTGAAAATGACAAATTAGAAAAGAGACAAAAATTTCCACGTAAAAACAGGTAATTTAGCCACAGACAACAGTAAACTGCAGCGTGTAGGGAGTGTATTGTTCTGAAAAACAACACAGAAGAACGATGATTTTAATAGATTTTAATAGAAAAATGGAGTTTTTGTTGCATGTGTGCTAAAAAACACAAAACTTGCAATGGTCATTGACCCTCCACCCAGAACAGTAAAATCTACATGATTTAACATTCACGTGCTGACTTCTCTGATAAACACAAATTTCTGTAATTGCAGGTCCTCAGATTTATACATCATCTCAATTTAATCATTCGGCTGAGTGCACTATATATTGCGTTGTCTCCCTCTGGTGGTCAAATGCATGGACGCACAAGAAGAACAGCAGTTTCAACAGCTGATAGCTGGAGATGGTTTGAAATGGTGCCTTTTCAAAGTAAAGACAAATCTTTAAACTCTTCTTCTTCCCGTTGATCATCTGCCTCCATCTCACCCTGTCTTCGGTCACACCGACCCTCTGTATGTACTCCATTATCCTTTTCTGTGATCTTCCTCTTATCCTCCTTCTTGGAAGCTCCGGTTCTAGCATCCTTGGTCCAATAATATCTACTATCCTACAGTTAAATGTTCAAGTCTTACAAGCAAAAACATTTAACAACATAAATGCTGATCCCTCTCCTATTTAATCTTAATATGTACAGTACTCTGTTTTTGTAACTATTGTACATGACTTAAATATTTTTTCTGTAAAAATTGTGTGTGTTTCTGTTCTGTGTCCTGTTTCGTTTGTATATGTGCTTTTTTCTTTGCTGCTGTCACAACCAATTTTCCCCTTGTGGGACAATTAAAGGATTATTCTATTCTATTACAAAGTAGCTGGTAAGAACAACTCTTGATTCCAGCTAACAGAATTGTGTCCTGTCCTTGTGAGTTTCTGTTTTCTGCCCCATGTTCTCGTGGATCTTGAACTTTGCTGCACTCTGCAATCAACCCTGATAAAGGTTGGGGTTTTGAGTCCTGCATCTGGGGTCCACTTCCTGAGAAATGTTGTTTCATGACAGAACAGTGTGAGTGTCACATGCAGCTGATTGCTGTGATATGGAATTCAATTCATCCATCCATCCATTCGCTTCCGCTTATCCTTTCAATTCAATTCAATTTTATTTATATAGCGCCAAATCACACCCAATGCCAAGGAAGGTTCTCCTGTCTGAAACTGTTGTATAAGCATGCAGCATTTTAATTTTGGTTCTTGGCAAAGGCGGTCGCACTTTTCTCTTTTCCTCTCCTTCCTTATCTTCCCTGCTTTGCCTCTTATGTCCTTGTCTAGTCTTGTGTGTTTTGTATTACTTTTCCCTGGAACACTCTCTCTCAGTCTGTTCTCTAAAACCTAAAGAGGAATTATGGATTTGATCAACTGGTCCCTAAATGCAGTTGACACCCTTTTCTCAACGAGAAGTCTGGGCTCGGGTGAGCCTGAGTGCTGAAGATATCTACCTATTTGGAACCATGATAACAGGGTTCTTGCTGACCGGAGCTGGCTTATCGAAGATTAAAGAAAGCAAAAAACCCCACAAAGCTGCCTGCTGGGATTGAATCGATGGGACGAGTGGTGAGTTCTCAAAATGGGCTCATTGAGCGCAGCACGGATAAGATCTTGGAGAAGCTTACGGCTGCCGTGAACACTCAGAATAAGACCTCTGAGCGAAAATTGATCACATCTTGGAGAAGCTCACTGGGGTCGTGAGTTCTCGGAATCGGCTCTTTGAGCACAAGAATGACAACATCACAGAGCGTAAGTTTGATAAGATCATGGAGAAGCTCGCGGCTCTCCAACGGGAGATTGAGAGACCAGTGTCGGACTGTCAGAACAGCTTTGAAATTCACATGAGTTGTTCGCATTAAAGTAAAAACCACCATCACTTCATGTGGATACTGCTTCAGCACCAGCTGTGGTCTCAAGGCTGGAGCCGAACAACAACACCCTGATAACGACTGTGTTTAGACTGTTCCTCCCCCATGCAAGGCCACCTGGGTTGGCTGGAAGACTGTTTACTAAGCCTGGCAGGGCGAAGGACACTGTCTCAGCTGAACTCTGGACACACACATACACTGATACACACTCATCCCCCTCCCTTTCCAAACGCCTTCGATGCTTGTCCCCTCCCGGGGAAGATGGCGGTCAACTGGACCAGCACAGACATGCTGCAGGACCGGATGCGCTGTCTACACCGGCTCTCTCTTACCCTTTACCCGCCCCTGTTGCACGTCTTGTGTTTCTATGGTGTATTGACAGTCATGTGCTTTTTGTATGCGCTGAGGTATTTATTTATTTTTTCTGTTCTCAAACTGATCTCCCTGTTGGAGCTCAGTCTGGGGGGAGTTCTTTTTTCTCCTCGTCTTTCCTCATGTGGTGCATTTTCCATTGTTATACCTCCCTGTCTTCCCCATGTGATGTTTGTGTAATGTATGTATGGTCGGAGGGTAAGATGGCGCTGGCATGGCTGGCAGCCTTAACCCAATTTCCCTCGGGATGAATAAAGTATGATCACACAATCAATCAATCAATCTTGAACTCACCCTAATAGGGGCATGCTGTTGGTTATATATATTAGGCCCTGAACTTGAAACAGGCAACAAGTAGTGAAATGCATTATAAAAATATGAAAGTATAAAAGGAGATCTTAACCATATATGAAAATATTTCATCCTAACAATGGTTTAATTAAACCTTAGTTTTTAGAGTAAAAAATCAAGTTAAACTGATCTGATTTCAAAGACTGGAAAGAAAGAAAACTAGTGAGATGTACAGATAGGTCCATAAATATTTGGATAGAGACAATTTTTTTCTAATTTTGGTTCTATACATTACCACAATGATCTTCGAATCAAACCACTTGAATGCAGTTCAAGTGCAGCCTTTCAGCTTTAATTCAGAGGGTTGAACAAAAGCATTGCATATTTTTTGCATTGAGTTCACCAGTGCTTTCTGTCTTTCTCAGGATGTACAACACTGTACATCCTTAACGATTGCTCATCTTGATGCATGCTCAATCATCCAGGTGATTCATTCATCCATCCCAAAAAGTTGCTTTTGTTCATCTGGACGTTGCATTTTCAGTAGGAGAAACTTTTTGTCACTCAACGAAGTGACTTCTTCCGTCTCAGCTGACTTCAGGTTTCCCCAACCTTACAAGGACGATGTTTGCACAATGACTGAAACTAGCGCCACTGGTGAACAATGGGCTGTGAGGTCAGGACCTTCTTGATCAGTAATATACATTTGTCATGACCATTGATCATCAACCACTGATCAAAGATCATTGATCAATATCCAAGAGTTAAACGACACGGAGACTCCAGCAACACTTAAAAGTAATAAGAAACAACTTTATTAAGTGACCAACGTGTTTCGGCTTGTGGCCTTCATCAGGGTCATTGTCAAATGTGAAACAATTTGTGTTTAAATAAAAGTCTGGAAACAGAAAAAAAATTCAAATGGACCAATCACACCTTCACAAATAAACCAGCTGACCAATTGATATTTAATGAGGTGGTATTGGCTAATTGGTTAATTGGTTAGGTCACAGCCCAAATAGATTCTAGACTAAACCATTAAAGATTAAAAGGGGGAGGGGAAAATAAATAAATAAATACATCAATAAAATTTCCTCACATGTATTATAGTAATAATGCTCAAAATTACACAGAAAAATGCAAATAAATTAATATAAAAATAAAAAAGATAAAAATTAAAAGTTAATATAAATACACAAACATTAAAAGAGGGAGACAAAGCAAAACATCTAGTTAAAAAACATAAAAACACAAAAGGTACAGTTCACAGAAACTCAGTAATAAATCCTCACTCATAGGATGTAAACTCGAAAACACGAAATATCCAGAATGCTTCAATTCTTTCTGATAAAATTAATATTACCACTTCTTTGACTGGGTTTAATGGCTTCAATGCCTATAAAA